CGTATTTTTTTTTACATAGAACTGCAACCTATCAAACCTTCGGTATCAGGACCCAGGAGCATTCGCATATTCCAGCTCCCAGCACGAAGAGCGGATTGGGCATGGAGTGGTCCAACTGGCATATTAGTCGCACGCTCCGCTGAACCGGGTTTACGGGGCGCGTGGGTTCCCGTGGACGTCCTATCATGGACATTTATACCCAAAATGACCGCATAATGGAGCGTAAGTAGATTGATTGCAGGTGGATCTCACAGTCGCTCGGATTGTGTGTCAGAGATCGTTTCAGCTGGTACTCAATCACAAAGCGGCAACCGAAATTAAGGACGTTTCAAAGTCCAACACCAGCTTCTTATTAGAATTCTGCGTGTCAGACCTCCATCTCCACAGTTGCCTACCAAATATGTTGCAATGATGGGGACTGCAATTAAGTCGGGGAAACTGAGCGAAAACTTCAGACGCCTGCATAAACACGAATTAGCGGCTCTGAGCTTGCAGCCTACATTGAAGAAACTAGTCATACTTTGACTTTCAAGGAACGCCCATCTTACTCTGTTATCTCGAAAGCAAAACGACTGATGTTTTAAGCATGGTATTCAGATGTCAACAGGTCTCTAGGCTTTACCGTGTTCTGTAAAGCCCTGCGTCAAGACAAGATGGTCATGCCGACCCTAATAAATCTGAGCACATGTAGCCCTGCGAAGAATCTACCGAAAGAAGAGGCAAGCTCACAATCCCTCCACCGAGGTGACTCTGTGCAAAACCAACGGCCATCAAGTTACACATACGAAGGCCGAGGCAACGATTGAGAAAAAAATCGATAAATCAAAGACCGACAAGTTCAGTTAGTCATTAAAAACTCTGATATATATTCACAATGAACGCTTTGAGAATGAGAGCTGACCAAGCTTTCCTAAGCGTCAGCAAGAATTCAACTGTGTTCCGGTAAACAAGGTCCACAGAGTCTGTTTAGTTCAAGGCCAACCTTCAGTGAAGACTGCCCTATTATACGCTAGCTATGGATGAGTCGTGTTTCCAGCAGCTAGGTCAAAAAGTGAATTGTATACAAGCTGCGTTACAACAAAACCAATCTCTGCTGTTCATTTTCACAGCAGGCACTGTTAAGGTGTACTGTTTGATGAATATCGCCGTCGTTGCCGACCCCTACAAACTTGTAGATTGAAACATACCTCAAGAAGTAATTGTACGTTAGCTGTCCCCACATAGCAACTACGGATAGGCCAAGAATAAAGGATAACCACAAATTCGGAATAGTCTTCATATCTACCAGTCTAGGGCACCCCAAGATGGTTAATCAGGTCTATTCGGTTTGAGTATTTCAGCCGCCGACTATTGTTTTTGCAACCATCTTAAGTCATGCAGTCTGTACCTAATCACTTCTTTCTTCCCTTCAGTACACGTCGACCGAAAGTGCTGCAAGGGAGCAAGCACGTTAGAATACGTACCTGGAAACAGTTGCGTTTTCAGCTCGAAGCAGAAATGGAGGCGAGTCACCCTTTCAAAAGAATCGCGGAGAAGCCCGTAGGCAAGAAACCACCCGCGAGGTCATATCGTCAGCTGGTGAACAGTGATTATCAGGTATGCGGACTTTCCGTTTTGGATTGACCTTCTCTTTTTCCGCAGTACCAATGGCCTGAAGGCACAGTTCTATATCAGCAACTAGAGGCTCCTCCAAGCCTTCGACCCCAATTAAAGGTCTCCGACCTCACTGGTATTCCAACAAGCTTGAAGGACCCCAGGACAACTCTGCGTTATGTTTCAGTTGAAGAATACAGGAGAATTAAGGATTTGCCACAAGACATTGTTAAAGGCTACTTATACATCAGGAATGCCGCTACAAATAATATTATTTGAAGATTGATTTGTTCGTACCGCATCCAAAAGCGTCTTAATACAGTGACATTAGGAGGGAGTATCATCACAGCTCCTCGTATATGACGAAACTACTGTGGCGATTTTCAACAGGAAAATCTCGGTGGTTAGTCCACGCTAAGGCAAGCAAGACGTATATATAAGCAGGTAATGAACCATGAGAGTATATAGACCAAGACTAGTTTAAAGATGAAAAGCATGTCCGCTCATCTCGGTATGAACTGTAAAAAAATAGCACATGTTCAAATTCACTATCACATTCCAGAGTCAGCTTTATAGAATGAACATTGCATTTGGAATACAACCGTTACAGACGGACCTGGTTATAAAAATCCGCAAGTGCCGTCCAGATAATTTGAAAAGCAAGCCCGATACGCTAAGTGGTTTTGTTATTGCGACGGGCGAAAAAGGCAATTCGTATATCTATAGTGTGCGCACACTCGCGGTTGCCAACAAGTGCGCAAGCACCAATCCCTGTCTATACCAACCCGGTTTGGTTAATCACCTTCGAGTTTGACTCACACAGGAACTCACTGTAACGACTGTAGCGTTCAAACACTTCGGACACCGGTCCCCTCGAGAGTGGTTCTGCACATGTCCGACTGTCAACATCCTCCAACTTATTCTTCACTAACTGTACAGAATACACCATTCCTCTTATCTGGCATCTCACTTCTACGTTCACCTACAGAACCGGGCTCGAAGAACGCAGCGACAAGGGTTTTACCGATTAACTTAAGCGACTGCGATATACCTTGCTAGCAG